TTCCGTGTAAGTTATTACCTCAATATAATCAACACAGAACAAGAAAAAGCAATCATTTTCTAAGTAAAATAAAGTTGTACCCAATTTTTTGACGTTTTCATAAACGCCAGAGTTTAAATTTCTTCAACATTCAATCTTATCTTTAACATTTTATAAAACAAAACAAGCTCAAATGACACATTATTTACAATAAACAAAAACAAATGCTCAAGTAGATTACAGAAAAACAGATAATTATGTTCTCAACAAAACTTTATTTATATTCTCTCAAATTGTCAGTCTGTTTCTTATCAAAGTTAAATAAATCTCAAACTTTGGAAGTATCAGATCATCAGAGTAAAACAAATTACTTTATAAGATATGAAATGAAAATAACAAAATTATTATGTTTATGAATCGATACTGTGATAGAGTATGAAATTGACGTCATTCGTGATAAAAAATTACTCCGGCTGTTGTAACACAATTGGGAGTTTCTTTTCACCAAGAGTAATATAAATCTATAGGTTGTTTTTGTTTCGTTTTTTATAGTTTTAGTTCAATTGGATACTAAATACCAAACGTTAATATACTTAACAGACAATGTTTTACAAAATAAAACTTATTTGAGAAACATTTTCTGCACCTTGTAGTGCACATTTACAGGAAAGCGTATTTATTTGTTTTAAAAATAAAGTCTAACTACTTCACTGTTGAAACAAATTTTCAACTGCCTTATTATAGAAGTAACAATGTAAACAAGAGTTGTTTATTTTTGGATGTAATTTATCCATTCTTTTATCATGTCGCTATATGTTAGGAGATTATTGCGAAAATGGTGGATGCGCCGGGTTAGCGTAAAATCCACCATTAATAATAACGATGGGATATTTAATAAAACCAATAGCTCTTAAGTAAATTACATCGTCAAACTGTAAAAGAGGTGTCTAAAGTGTGAATAATTAGATTTCGGATCGTTTAGCTTTTGTGATATTTTTCTTCTATTGGAAGTGTGGTTTTGATGTAAGTTGTAAAACTTTATTGGCAATTAGAATTTGTGTAAGAGAGCAATTTCATGGTGATCAGTTTAATTTGTTATTGGCCAACGTCTCTAACACCATAATGTCAGACAATATCGATTTTGTGGATAGAGAAAATCCCTACAGACTGTGGTATCACAAACATTACAAATGCAGCATAAATTGGATAAAATCCATAAGGGTTGCTCTATTTGAAGCAAGATTTACTTATGACGCTCACAACTTATAATTGGCAAAGTTTGCGAGGAAAATATAAAAATGACGCGTTGTTTATTGACGTAAAACACAAAAATATAATTGCCAACAAACAATAATGTTAATAATAGGTTTGGTCAAATTGAGTTTGTGATTTGATGTGTCTGATTCCTATTTGGTAGAAGTTCTAATCATAATTAATCTTTGTTAGGAGTTGAAAATTGTAGTTTGAAACAATTAAAGGATCCGTTCTGATTGTCTGAAGGAAAATTATTCAAGTCGCCAAATGACGGAAACCTTACACTGGTTGTAAGACAACATAATAAACATGCAAAGACTCTATTTCAGTTCCCTATTAAATGGAAACAATTAAGGAAGAATTTTGGTTGAATTAGTATCTCCGCTGGAATCGCCGATATGAATTACCTCCCAAAAAGTTGTGAAAATATGACTCAAATTGTACTGAATCGATTAAAAGCGAGACTGTCGCTCGGAATTCCTAAAATGTGAACTTTTTCCCAGTTTACAGCAGATGTGTCGTATTATTTTACAAGACTTTGGTATCAAATTTTAGTTTTACTCTTGTAATAAAGTCATTAAATTTTTACGAGCAAATAACTATTTTTATGTTTCGATCTATTCTCATTTTAAAATTTGCACAGATTCAGCGCAATTTGATCCTGATCAAAGCAAATTAGATGCTTAATTAAAATCTCAACCAAAACAAACATCACTTGATTACCTCAGCTGAAACATTTTTCATAACTGACAACCTAATCTACTAAATTAATTAATAAAATGTGTCGGTTCAATTTTAAATTACCGTTCCCTAGAGAGCTTTTTTACGGCACCGCACAATATTACCGTTTATTAGTTCTCTTTGACTATTGTAGCTCTTCACTTTATCACTTAATGGCAGCTCTGGCGCTCCATATTTGCCTCACGCTTTTAGAATGTCTCTATAATTCATATTTTTACCATTCGACTGTTCTACCAAGAAAAATAGGTGGGACACCACAAATGCGAATTGCACATTTACATTCAAACCTTTCTTTTTCTCCAAAAATTTGATTATAAAGGTGTTACAACCACGGTTTATTGTCGGCTCAACAGTAAAATTAGTTATTAAATAGTGTTACTTTTTTGGTTCTGGATATAAAACCTTGCATTAGTTTACGTAGAAGTAAATGCTATTAAAGTGATTGGGTGCGCTATCGGTACTTAACTAAAGAGTGCCTATAATTAAGGAAACTTCCACTTTGGGACATTACCACTCCCACGGCAAATATGCTATTAATGTTTACATCCGCGTTATTGATCAGGTCCGGTTTTGATAGAATTAGTAAGGATTTCGGTATGCTTTTCGTCAAATAACACAACTCTAATAAAAAAATTGTCTTTATCTTAAAATTTATTTTGTGATTTTTCCATTCACTATGCTTTAAAATAAAGAAAAAATACCCACATTCCTTATGAAACAATTCGTAAAAAACTAGATGAAAGATCTGAAGCTTTTACATTTTTAAAAAAACTTTTTTCTAAAGTTGTCAGAAACAAAGGTAAATACTGGAATTTTTGTTGATCCACAAATAAAAAAAAACTTTTTGTCAGTGAAGAATTTCCAGCGTTTTTCAAACATAAATGAGAATCTTGTTGGTCTTTTCGGCAAAATTTTAGTAATTCTCACCAAATTTTCAAAGGTATGACTTTTTATAAATTAAAGTTGAAGTGTGCTGTTTGGTCACTATGTTTAATTTATAAAAACAAAATATTTTAATATCCACGTCATCTTTGGAATGTAATGTTGGTTGCTTCCAAAATTTTTTCAGGCTCATTATTACTTGTGGGACATCCTGTATTTGCTTCGATTTTTTACAAATAAAAATTTAAACTATGAATTTTCTAAAATATTGATCAACCGTTCTCCTGGATTCAAAAGCAAACTTTTTCAGGCCATATATATTTTTTTGTCTAACTTATCGATAAATCTATCAAAATTTCAAAATACTCTATTATCAAACTCAAAATTCGACTTTGAACGCAATTTTTTAAATTAAATTTGACAAAATTAATGTGAATAGTAACAGTCACCATCTGACACATATTAAAATGGAACTCTTACCTAGATAGAAAAGTGAACAATGCACCCGAAACCATCAAATTTTTCATATCGCATATCTAAATTAAATTACGCTAGAGAAAACACGCAATGTTTAAACGCAAATAAATAGAGTGCACAAACTGGGCGCAACGAATCGATGAATTCCAATTGTATTGACATTTTTTAATAAAACAAATATTGTCTAAGGTTGTGTGAAACGTGACTTGTCAGTTACATTATGTTATTAAATTACTAAAAATGTGAAATGAAAAATCTTGTTTGAATGAAAAGATTCCTGTAAGGTAAGTCGCTTTGTGGACTTTCCAGAAAGTATTTTATTTCAGTAAAAATGATTGGACATCGGTAATTCAATACAGTTACCGCACCTAACGGTGGAAAAATGTAATTTTTTAGTTTTTAAATGAAATAAATTGCGTTGACAATAATGTAAAATGATCTTGATTAAAAATTCATCATGGCTGTTGCAGATTTGAACACAACAATCTAACAACTAAGTATCGTCAGCAATAGAGACAATGAAACACAATTTCGCTTTACACTGACAATTTGACACAGGGCGAAGAGATGATGCAAGAGCGGTAAGAGAAAGGAGAGGGTGGAGGCCACCGCCAACTCCCTCAATGTTGAAGGATTCCCCTTGTAAGCTCATACTAAGCTGGAATGTAAACAAAACAAGCTTGCTTCTATTAATCGACTATAGCTACCGACATCTTAAATTGCAAAATTTAACACCGACCAAAAACCACTGATTGTCAAAATAAGATAGAGACTTAAGTTTTTTAATGACATCACATATCGATCATGGAAATTGTCAATTTCTGCAATCTCTAGAATGGCCGCTTTGGATTTCGTGAAGAGCAGCGGGTGTTCCTTATGATGTATTTAGTGCTAACAGGGTGTTGCCACCCACATAATGTGTCGGTGGAAAATTAGTGAACTGATTTACATCTAAATCTAGTAGTGCATACCCTTTAACAGGACCGTAGTGAGTTGAATAATGACCTCTATTCTCCATTAGCATTCTAACTATGTCCTAATGTTTCAATCGATCAAATATTACCCCCTAATGATACCGACCGCAATCATTTTTACAAATTGCCTGTTTTACCCAATTTAAAAGCGTTAAATAATTTAAATTTCGCCCAAAATACTTGTACGGATTATGAGGGTGTATCACATTTATTTTCCTATAATGACGATTTATTCAAGCGTAATCAAGAAATTATGCACTGCCACCTACATTTGTCACAATAAATTATAATGAATTTAAATATCACTATGAATATTTATGCATCTGACGCTTTAGAGAATGATTAATGACCCAATTTCTTTGATCTTGATCAAAGAAGTAATTGTGCGTGCATCCAATTGTTATCATACACTTTAAATGCGCACCAAAAGCAATATTTAATTATTTAACCTATAAATCTAATTAAAACGACTAGCCACAGATTTTAACAAAAAAACTTAGATTTACTCGTAACGTGTAATTTTTATTGATTCAAATTGTAAGTGTTTTAATAATAAATTAAAAGACCTGTCCGTGACAAGTTTTAAATTCGTTTAATGAATCATGCTTTTGTAAATGAAATTATACTTATTAAGTATTAATTAAACGTCAACTTTGTTTAATTCGATAATGATTTATGATTTTTTTATTTCAGGGTCTATTTTGGTAAACGGAGGAATGCAGAATTCTGGTGGTAACGGCTTTAACGCTCTTCCAGAGAGTGGCACTCTCCCGCCTATGGGACCACCTGCAGTTCCACAAAATCGCTTTGAACCTTATTTTGACGCAATGACTCCACGCAATGTAACAGCTCTTGTTGGAAAATCGGCTTATCTCAGCTGCCGCGTACGAAATTTAGGAAATAAAACGGTGAGTTTTTCATTTTATTGACTTTATAAAACCTGATTTGTGAAAGATTCTTGAATTCACTCAATAGCCACTGATACAGTTACTGTATTTCTTTGAATAACAATTTAAGACGATTTGTCCACTTGTACTACGCGATTTTGTAATGGTTTTTTAATATTAGATAATTTCAATTTCTTCGTAAAATTTTATGTTTTTAAAGCGCAGTTTTAGTACGTTTTGTTGGAGGAACGGAATGCATACAAAATAATGGTAAAGTAAAAAAAGAGTACTTAAGTGCAAAAAATGTAAAATGCATAGAATTCGAGACTGTTTGTAGCTTTTATAGCACATGTAAAGTGGCCTTTTACAAAATCGTAAAACGACGGAACAACAGAAATTTTATTTTTATGATGAAAATCAAAGACTAATTTGTGCGAATATAGAAATCAATAACCGCTTTGAAAACATTAAAAGGGTTCGTTCATTTATTCATTAAAATAGTACTTAGCGGAATAAGCGACTCGAGTTCATTAAATTTTTACTAGGCTAAGACTTTAAAGTTGCCGAATTGTTCGAGAAATATGATTTTCGTTGGTTGCTATTTTCGGTGAAGGTGAAATTAAAATTAGATAATAAAATGTAATAACAAAGTTAGCGACATAAACTCTAACTAAACAGCAGTGTTCCTGCTCGTAGGCAGTGGCGTATTTGAAAGTTAGTATTTATTTTAGTTATTAAATTATCTGTATTCCAAAACTCCAGCTACGTAAACGTTGTCAACAAAGCAGAATTGTATACAAACATAAAAGGTCCTGATTATACAGCTTATGAACATGCTAGCGGTGCTATATAATTTATGCCACACATGTAAATACACGCTAAGTAATTTATACTTAACTTACAAGTTACCTATGCTTGCTGTATAAATAAAAATAATGAAACAAGCTATTTCGTGACTCCGCAAACCTTTAAAGTTATCTCTACCTATTAACACCATTTAGAACGAAACAAAAATAACTCATATTCATTAAACCAGCTTGATTAAAAAAAACTTAACTGCTCGCCTGAAGCGAAACAGAGGAGATATATTAATGCAAGGCTATTCGATGCAAGCTTATATAAAACTAATTTTTCAACTCAAATACTTATTTATTGAAATTCATGGACTTTAGGCTATAATTTAGCTTATTTCCAGGCTTTTCAATTAACAAAAAAATCATTCCAACACATACAGAACAAAGTAACATTTTTCACTATAAATATAACATTTATTAAAAAATAGTTTAACGAAAAAAGCATCGTTTGTTATAGATTATGTGATTATAGATTTAGGATCAATATTTTGTGTTTGTTTCTCATAATCTAATTAAAAACTGTGCCTAGTATGTTAAAATTAATAGTTAATTGCTAATAGCTTGAGATTAATCTTTTATTGTTGTTATAATTGTTCATTAGCTATTAGAGTTGAAAACACCAGGAGTTGAAATTGTACCATCGATGAATGCTTTCGTAAACTTTATAACTCGATGAGGCATCAACAATTAAGTCGATTTCCATACTACTAACAACCATAATAGGGTTATAGAAAACTTTGCCGGTTGAAAGCAAATATTAGTAAGTTATCAGCGCAAGAGATAATTCGTTGGCATGCAAGTTGTAACATTATGAAACTTTCGACAAATAATTATTAAAATTTTGGCTTAAGATAATCATCTTTTTTAATAAGATGCGAAATGTGCTTTCCACCGGTAAGGGGATTATTGATAACAGTTTCAGAGTTATTAATTAAAGAAAGACAAAGACAAATTGTCTAAATAAGAAAATATGTTGCTATAGTTTAGCCACAAATTCAACACAAAATAAACAATTCAGCAGTTAATCGCATGAGAGAAATATTTTTGTACATTTATAAAATGTATAAACATATCTTGGTAAAACAATAAATAAAAAAACCCTTTTATTTAAGAAAAAAATATTAATATGGTAATCTCAAAAGTTTAAACAATTAATTAAAACAAAAAATATTTTGGCATCGCTCCTTGACAACATTTAAACATTTATTAATTTATTTCCAAAAAAAACTGTTAGTTTACTTAAAAAAATTCTTTAATTTTTGTAAGTCAAACATTTTTTAACAAAAAAGTGTGAGGTTTACAAAAAAAAATTCTTGTAACAAGCTTGTTGTCTAAAAAAATTGTGGTAGGTTTCCATTTAAAAGTATAAACAATTAATCAATATTCAATTTTTTTTTGAATAGCATTTTTATATCCATGCACACCTATAAATTTATTTGCCAAAAAAATTGATAGTTTCGCCAGACTTTTGGACCATCATGTATTTAGTTAAAGTATGGCAAATCCAAAGTTTCCTTTTTTCTTAAGTGAGAATCTATAATTTTATCATTAAAAATTGGATTACTCCAAATACTCTTGCTATCAAAACCAATTTCAACTGTTTATTGTAATCTTGAAATTTTATTTAAGAGACGTGAACTGAATTGCAAATGTAAGAACAGTTAAGACCGAATTGTAGAAGAAATTCAATTTAGTTTTAGCGTCTTTCATTTTGCCATGAAACACACTCTTATATCTCAAAATATCGCGATTTATTTGCATAGGTATATTAGTAAAAGAATTAAAAAAATATTGATTCAGGCCTGAAAAAACACAATCGTAACAAATTTAAATCCCTTGATTTATTTGGAATTAATCCCAATTATACAGTTTTTGTTTAAAAAAACACGATTTTCCAGACGAAAAAGCCTAGCAATTTGACACGTTTTCCACATTTGCCCTTCGGAATACATTATTTTTAACAAAGGAATTTTTATGATAAAATAACACACACTCTCGGCCGCATTAATGAAATAAAAATCACACAAACAAGAAGCGTGTCTATTAAAAGAAAAATGCAGCCACCAATAACTAAACCACCTTTTAATCCGTCACGTTCCTGACTGAATAATGAGATTACATGGCGTCACGTCGTTTTTAAATCACTTGCATTATTCCTAATTTAATATTTAGGACCTTGTACGTAAACTCCCTCCCTCTAGTTAAAGTTGTTAAACCAATAGCTAGATGAATAAAAATGAGATGCTTACCAAACACTGTCGATGCGAACAGTAAAATATCGCTTTAAATTATTTCTGGTTAACGCTACAAAGTTACAGTGGAAAACTGTTACCAATCTAAACTACAACGACCGTCTTTATAAATGGTGTAAAGTAAACTTCCCCTAAATCAATCCACACCTCATTGACTTGCCTGGACCCAGGCGAATCTAACCTGATCCAGGTCAAGTAGGGTACCTGACACTGTATTAATTTATTGTTTATCTTATACCCCTTGTGAATCTATAATAAGGACCCAAATCAGCAACGCCTAAAATGAAATTTTTAATATACAGCAAAGACAACCCAAATAAAAATTCTAATTTTAAAAACTCATTTCAAGAAAAAATAAACTTTCACCCAACTCACTAGAATATTGCAATATCGCGTTTTGAGAGTAAACAAAATAAAATATATTATTTATTACTACACCATAACTCAATCATCTTGTTGTGCAAATACAGTCTGCAACTTATATAACTTGGAAATTATAACGACTTTTTAAAAACAAAATTTTTATTCGAACTGACAGAGATTCAGAATTACATTTTAAATTATGCATTACTTTAATTTATATATAAATGTACTGATAGCTGTGATAACTAATTATTTCTATTTATATTTACGTTCCCTTTGCACTCTATTTTTTAACTATCTTGTCAACTTTACGAACGATTTCTATTAATGACATATGAGTCCCGAAAAGTACCACTTTACCAACTATTTTAGTCTCTTTATAAGGTTTTCAATTCTAGATATGAGTAAATTTTTACTCTTCGAAAAAAACTTGTTTATGGGACGAGGTCTTGTTGAGATGCGCGGTCAACTCAAGTGGTTTTCTCAAAGCTTCCTTAAAAGTTTTAATTAAATTCGTTTACGTTTGCTTAAGTTAGACTAAACACGAAGGTCCGCTTTGAAATGCATAAAAAATACAATTGTGTTATAAGTTAATAGACTGTTAAATTTAGGCAAAAAAATAAATTAAGCGTCTGGTCCAAAAGAATTGAATTTTATTTCAACGGTTTTACTTTATAGAACTAAACGTTGCCACGTATTGTTGGAATTATCAGCAAAGTTTAATTTGGGTCAAGGACCACAAAACAGTTTCTAGCCTTTTGTATAATTTATTCTGGAAGTTAAATTTGAGGAATCCTCTGAGGTCAATAAAAAGGTGCTAATATAGGGAAGCGGAGAAATGATTATAATGTTGGTGTTTGATAATTCAACAATAAAATTTCCGGTTGAACACTTTCGAAAGTCGTAAAAATGTGTAATGGTGTGGTTGTTGTTGTATCTGAAATCTGTTTTGAAAGGAAATGATTTAATATTTATTAATGGAGTGATTTAAAGGTGTAAACAAATATTAAGTTGGCGAAGAAGAAGTCGTATAAATTTAAAAGAAGTAGGAAGGGGTAAAAGTGAGAAATGTATCAGGAGCAACTTTTGTCTTTGTTGAAAGTTGGATCGACGCATTGGAAGCGGAAATTTAATTTATTTCGGTTCGAAAATCACTCGATGACTTTTTGAGTTATTTGAGGAATGTTGAAATAGTTTAGCGTTAAGACATAAATTTTCGAAATTTAGCGACAAAGGGTACAATACAAACATTATGATCATATTATATCGCAGAGAGAAAGCTTAGTATTAATCATCCGTATAAGTCGGTGTATCCTAGTGAGACAATGCGCCCATCGACTCAGTTATTAAAGTTTAAAATAGAAATCCCACAACATTAAATAGCATGTCTTGTTTGACACAGCTCAAGGCCCATTCTTGTCTGTTTTCAGCCATTTATCTTTGCAAAGTTAGAAATTCTGCTGCATTCATAACATAATCCTGCTCAGCGAGATTCACGGCAGGATCTCAGCATAAAGTGAGCTTGTAAAGTTCAAAACACTTAAATACCAGG